ATAATAATGAAAATGTCAAACATACTACCAATCAAATAATATACTATGGAGGGTATACAGGTAGAGAGAAGAATTGGACATGCTAATAAATGTTGTGATCTCCTACAGGCTCAGAAGAGAAGAGAAGAACCAGAGTAATATTCTGGAAGACAGTGCCAATAAGGAGAACCAAGCTAGGAAAGTAGACATAGGTGTCTCTGCCCCAAACATATCCTAGAAAAGTCCTAAAGTAAATGGAGATATGGGGATTGGGGGTGTCTGGAGAAGGAAATATGGATCTTCCCTACTAACTCATCCACCTCCTATAAATTATGCTAAGAGAAGTAAATTGGTATCAGTTATTTTCATAATTTCCCTACTTGGTGCATTAAGTACCACACAAGTATTTGTTAACTATGAGTGATCACCAATTATGATTTATTAGTAGTAGTTTCTAGCTTCAAGTCTTTCAGTAGCCTACATGTGGGTGAATACTATGGCAATTTAAGGGGATGAGAAACTCATCCAGATAAATGTGTTACAATTACCTTATTATGTTTCAGGGTTTCTTTTTTTTTTTTTTTTTTAGCATGTCTGAATGTGGTCTTGATGGAGTTTTCATTAAATGGCTTTGGTGCCTTTGGTCTTTTGATATTTGGATATTACCTATAATTATCAACATGGCAGGGCCCAGACAATTATACTAAATGATGCATATTGACTGATTATCAACTACTTGTGTGTAGATCAATCCACAAGTTGCCCTTGCTCACTGACCAAGATGTCCAAGAGGAAGGCACTCCCAGCCAACCACTCATCCTCCCTACTGCTCCCATCCTGACACTGCTTTAATCCCCTCCCCCCTCCTGCCTGCCTCTTGGCTATTCTGAACTGTTTTCCAGTTGTCAGAATATGCCATATTCTTTCTTCCTTCTGTTCCTTCTTGGCACTGGTTTTTGTCTCTGCTGGGAACACCTCTATTTATGCTTTGTTAATTTCTACTAAACTTTAGGTCTCAGATCAAAACTCAGAACACTCAGCACTTGTTAATTGTTCCTCCCATGCACTCCCCTCCACACTCCCTAACACAATACTGGTTTTATGTGTGTGTGTGTATACCACGAGTTGCCTGTAAACAGTATATGTATATATACATGATATATATACCCACTAGATTGTAAGCTTTGTGGAGAGACTGTGTCTCTTTTCTCACAGTTATAATTCCCAAGAACTAGAGTACCTGGCATATACCGGTAATAGTACTCAGTAGGAATGTGTTGAGTGAAAGAATAAGCTTTAAAAATATCCCACTTGCTCAACTCCATTGATTGTGGATGAATGTTGAGACATTTTCCTGGGCTGAAAAAATACTAAATAGTTATGTTTGTTGTTAGTTTTAGCTACATTCTCACCTTTTGGTTATGCTTTTCATGGACCTAGCAGTTTGGGGACCAAAACCTATACTGTTTTGCACAAGTCTCTAGATGAACTATATAAGTAATAGTGATCGCTAACAAGGGGTTTTCTTTTATAGTCTCCTGTTTCAAAGTCTGTTTATAAAACTCTGAGGCTATGAGTACTCTAGGATTTAAAAAGCTAGAGCTGGCAACTTTTTTATATTTAGTATGAATTTGAACCAAAGCTTGAACATAGAACAGTAACAAAAAACACAATAAAACAAAAAATAAATAAACAAAAGGTACTTATTTTGGCTCCACATCTGCCAATGAACCTTTTGTTTTTTCTTTTTCTCTATGTAATTCATAAGACTTAGGCATCACATAAAAGTTTTATCTGTTTTAATTCTTTGTGCACTTACCTGTCATGATTTTATAAAGCTAAATAATTTAAAAATTGATTAGTAAAAGTAAAAGGCAATGAATAATATGTAATGCTTACAAATTAATCTGAACTATATATCATTCACATATATTACAAATATATGACACTTTCCTAATTAAGTTATTACAATGGCTCCTAGTGCCCTAGAACTTAAATAATAACAAGTTTAGGCTAGCAGTCAAAGCTCTCTAAAATCTAGCCCCAATCATTTTTCAAAGTTTTCTTTCATTATTCCCCTTGGTATTCTACTCTTTACTGTAATGGAAGTGACTAGCTATTTGCTATACCAGCATATAGTAGATGTTCAAATATTAGCAAAACGTTAGAAACTGAGTTTGCTTTAACCAATGTAAAATTTGGTGGGCCATCATTTAGACCAGTGTTTCTCAAACTTTATTGTAACATCAGAATCATCTGGAGGGCTTGTTAAAACTCAGATTGCTGGCCCCTCCCACAGAATTTCTGATTTAGTTGGTCTATGTTGGGGCCCGAGAATTTGCATTTCTAACACATTACCCAGACAATTCTGATGGTGCTGGTCCAGGGACCACACTTTGAGAATCACTGGTTTGCTTGATAACTTCAACTAAAGTTGAATGCTGAAAGTGCAAGATCAATGTCAGTTCAGTTGCCTTTGTATAACACAAGAATGGCTCTTTGAAAACTAAATCAGATCATACCAGTCCTCCACTCAAAATTCTTAGACTGGCTCATCATTTACTCCAAGGAAAAGCTGATGTGCTTGCAGTGGCACATAGTTATATAACAGTTACCCTCCCCTTCCCAGTCACCTCTCTAGTCTCATCCCCTCCCATCCGCCAACTGCCATTTGATACAGCCATGTATCAGAACCATGGCTGGCCTCCCTGGTTTTTCCTTTGACACATCAGGCACCTTCCTGTCTTAGGATATTTCTTCTAGGTATTACCTCTGCCTAGAATGCTCTTCCCCCAGTTAAATATTTGGCCAACTTCACTGTCTTCAATCTTTGCTCAAATCTCCCCTTCCCAGCAATGAGGCCCACCCGGATCACCCTATTCAGTACGGCACCTTGCCACTCCTCTTCCAATCCCAAACCCTTGGCCCCCTGAATCTCTCTTAATTAGTTCTATTTTTTCTTCTTTGGTGATACTAGCCCTTATCACCTTCTCACATGCTATATATTTCACTTATTAATTATATTTATTATTTGTTTACTATAATATAGAGGGAGGTCAGGGATCTTTGTTTTGTTCCCTGATACATCCTAAGCACCTGGCCCATAATAGGTACTCAATATATGATCATTGAATGAATGAATAAATGAATACATTAGGTATATTGTACAACATACTGTTTCAAGGAAATGCTATATAATAGCATCTTTTTGAAAAGATTACCTGTTGTCATACAAGATAGTTAACTTATCTAGGTTACTCAATGACAAATTCTTTTGCTTTCCTCTTTTATCTGCTTGGTCATTCATACATTCTCATTTTGAGACATTTCTGCTAGTGGTCTGAGGATATGAAATACACACATTCACAAATCTATCAATTTAAACATATTCTGTACAAAATAGCATTAAGACTAAATATGCTCTAGGTTGAAGCCATATTATAAGTACACCCTTTAGTCTACACGTCGAGATGAGGATCCTGTATTTCAGTACTTAAGGTACTGTGTATTTTAAAGTAATTATCCTTGACATAAGTATTTTTAATTAACAAAGACCAGAAACCCTATAGTATTATTTCCCGCTTTCCGGCTTATAGTACAACAACTATTATAATATTAGTCTTCATTTCTTGAGGGCTTACTATATAACAGGCAATATGTTAATCCTTTTATGTCATATATATAGTTTATCTTATATAGTTCACAGTACAACACCATTGCAGGGAAAAATTTTAGGTATGGAAAAATTAAAGTCCAAAGAGCTTCAATAGCTGGCATATAGTCATGCAGCTGGTAATTGGCGGTGAAGACATCTAATCTGGATCTGTGTGAAGCCTGTAAAAGTGAAAGTCTGAGTACAAACAAGAAGCAGAACTAAAATAGGATTCCAGGAGAAATAACAATGTGACAGGAATCCAGATTTGGGGTTTGATGCTGAAAGTGAGCTGTGCCATATTCTATCGTCTATTATTTAAGAGAGAAAGCTTGTAACAAGCAAGCCCATTCAAATTTCACATAAATAATTCCTCCCTGATGTTAAAAAATATATTTTAAAGAGCAATATAGTTTTTCCTTTAAAAAAGCACAAATAACCCCAAGGCTTTAAATGCTTATTTCCTATCGTATTGTTCCCTTCCTGTTACCGTTTTTGAGCTAGAACATGGAGTTCTTGGTAGAGAAATGAAAGGCCCTTATCATCAATCTCCATTAAGACTCTTGAGTGGGTTCTGTTGTCTAAGGATTTCTGAGCTGATAGACATGTAAAATGCTGATGTGGTTATATGGAGTATTCATCTACATTTGACATTTACGTAAGCTCTGCATGCAGCCTTCATAGTCGCATGTTTCAGATAATGTCCCATGAATTGGGTAGGTCTTTTCAAATTTTATTCTTTTTTTAAATAAGCCTTTTCTTGGAGTTTTGCCAATAAAAAACCTCTTATTGGAGTTATGCCAAAAAAATACTAAACTGTTACATTCTACAACAGTTTAGTATTTGGGGGAGAGCATGAAATACTGTTATATTCTAAATTAGTTATGATACAGGAGGTACATTAGAGCAGTATTGACCAAAGTGCATTCATAATGAAACCAAAATTCATGTTTTTTTTTTTAACATGTTTAAGTTCACTGTAGAGGTAAAAGGTAGAATGACCCAAAAGCAGGTAATTTCATCAAATTCATTGTGTATCCTTTGCTCATATATTTAATCTTAAGATCATCTTAAATATCTCTTCTTTTTCATCATTCTTTTTTTCTCTTTTATTAGTTATCTTGTTTTCCAAAATGTGGTGCCACAGGAAACAATTTTATATTAAGAATGTACGCATGGAGATTATTTTTATGAATATTGTACTGTTTTCACCCACCAGGTTGAAATTCTTAACAGTGAAGAAATTAACTGATGTCTGTGAATGTGTTATCTAGAATCTAATGACTTCCCTCCTCGTGGGCCAGGATGGAAAGATTCATCTCTTTTGCACAAATCATCATTTTTTTCTAGGAACCATGAGGTCACTTACATTTGCAAGCATCTGGAGCAGAGAAGGGTCTGCGAAGGTCACGGTAAAAGCCTGGCTTACACCTCTGGCAATGCTGACCCTCCGTGTTGTGCTGACAGTCGTTGCAGACACCACCGCTACGGTTCCCCGATGCCTCCCACACATTAATGTCGAAGTGGCAGGCATCAGCATGCCCATTGCACTTGCAGGCTGGAAGAAAAAAGCACGGGAGGAACACCTTTAAATTAAAAATAAAGCAACAGATTCTCTCACATTCAGGCAGTTAAAAATAGGATTAGCTGATTGTTAATTTTTATTTTATTTTTAGTTTTTTGAATAATTAACCGTACAAGAATCAAAACAATATAGAAAGGTATACACTGAGAAATCTAGCCTCTCCACCCCCCTGTACCCTGCTTCCCCTTTAATAAATTACTTCTTTTTTTAAAAAAGTTTCTTATCTAGCCTTCTAGTTTTTAATTATAGATTGCCAATTTAAAAAATGGGTTTCAAGATACGCATGAAAGTCAACAAAGTATAGATTTGTCTAGTTGGGCAGAGATACTACAGCTATCTTACCAACTGGGGTTGACATTTGTTTTGGAAAGACTATTTGAGCAGCCACCAGTTTTTTTCCCTTTTTGATGCTAACACTCCACCATTTCCATTCCTGCTACTTCCCAAGGATCCTCTCTGTGGGCCTCCTGTCCTTGCTAAGAAAAGCTGAGACTGTCAGGCATTCTTTGAAAATAGCAATTCATATTGCAGATACAGGCCTGCATCCACATTCACTAAAGAGCCTGGAAGAAAACTTCTGGTGGACAGGGTTTAGTAACTTGGCAGGTAGATTGATTTATCTTTCATGAAGTACTATTTTTCAGCTGTTCTTGTATTAGTGAGTGTATTGTAGACTCCTATAAAAGCCTCGATTTCATTATATAAGAGGCCTGTAGTGTTTATTATGCAACAATTTCTCAAAGGCATTTCTAAGATTATCAAGTCAATAGCATCAAGTGACAAGTCTTTGTGTTCTATATGTATTTAGATGTGCAGTTGGTTTCTGTGGAAAGGGCCAGAAAGGCATTCTAGGAATTTAGGAGAAATTCTTTAGATTCTCTTGATGAGTGATTTAGAATAAGAATCCAGACTTTTTCCTGGAGGTCAACTGTATTTGAAAATATTTGTGCTATTGTTTTTCATTGTTTCCTTGATGTGTTATGATATTTTGACCAGATTCATATCTTTAAGAAGTATATTATAAGATAATTTAAGATTTATGCTTAGAGGAAATCCTTTACATTTCCTGGAAACCAAAACAAATCAGTTATGATTCTAAATTATGTATGGGAAGTACCTTCTCACAACTTAACCCACAGTACTTGCCTTTAAATCCTCATAAAATAGAGGTTTGTGAGTGTAAACATTGTTATGGGCATGTGCATTTCTCTGAACATTTTAAATTGCAAAGCAAAAAATGGTTCATGTTCTCATATTTTTTAACCTCCTATTTAATATCCAACCTTAAACCCAAAGTTAGTCCTGGTAGGGCAATCTTATTCTTGACCTACCAGTTTAATTTAAAATTTCATTCATCATTTCCAGTTATCATAAGTGAAAAGAAAGGCATTATGATATTATGGAAAAAAATGTCTAATTTGGAGTCTGAGACTTGTGATCAAGTCCCGACTATTATTTACCAACTTTGGCAAGTCACTTAGTCTCACTGAGCCTCAGTTTCCTGATCTCTAAAGTAGGATTAATGTCATCTGCTTTATTGGGTTGTTTTGAGAACTAAATTCAAGATAACTACATTCATGTTTTTAATTCAGTATCTTAGCTATAAGAGTAATTGTACACCATAATCCTCAAACACTCTTGTGTCTACTCATGATTTTATTATGTCAAATTCTCAAGGAGGGTTCTTAGATATCACAAAGTATCCAAGCAAATAGGCAACACATTCCTGGCAAAACAGTCATATTGGCAACTTTGCAAACAGTAATTATTTCCAATGGTTGAAGTCATAGTGGGGAGTGATATGGGCTATGTTTGTGTGGGTTATAGTGTTTGTCACCCACCACTTTATATTGTGTTTCTAGAGACAATATAGAGTCCACAGATAAGTTTACTTTACAAAGAAGGTTTTTGAGTATTGTGGGCTTGTTACTTACTTCTGCACTCTTTAGGAGCCCCTGTCCTGCCATCGGCTGCCTCCCAGGGCCGGTCATTGTATAGTGGTGCACAGTGCTGGCAATGGCTGCCTGCTGTGTTGTGCTTACACATACACTTCCCATGGACCTACAAACAACATTAATTAACAGCTATGAGCACAAATGATGCTAGGGAAGAAGACTCTTCCCATAATCTCCTCTCATTGCTTGGCTTTAGCCATATGACATTCATTCACATTTCTAAAGTTAGCAATCAAGAGAAGAGATCTTTTCTTAGTTTGTCTTGTGATTAATTCAACAGATTAAGTAACATGTTTTCCTGGCTATAGGATATATGAATCCAATGAACATTTCTGAGGTACTGGCTAAGCATTTAAGTACATTTTTAATATTTTTAATTTTTTTATTCTTTACACAAAAGTAATACACCTTTATTATAGAAAGTTTAGAAATCTATAATCGCATCACAAAATGACATTAATATCAACATTTGGAGCATATATTTCCAGTACTTTAAAAGCACAATTATATTTACAACTTCTTTTCATGTAATATATTGAGAATATCTTGCCATTTCAATACATATTCTTGTATAACACACGTTTTAATAGCTCACTTTTATTATGTATAATTTATTTGACCAGTCACCTATTTTATTGTTATTTAGGCTTTTAAATATTTTTCTATATTATGTTCAATGCTATATGAATATCCTTATAGCTAGGTATTTGTACACATTTTTAATGATTTCCTTTGAATGTATTTTCCAGAAGTAAAACTGAAGGTCATAATATGTATATTGTTAAGACATTGAATACATTTTGTCCTAATGACTTGGCATTTTTTTTCTGATCCAACACTTCAGAGTAGTTTAATGTTTATTAAAATAGTATTTCTCACAGAGAGAAATACTTCAGTAGAATTCTTAGGGATATGAGAACTTTAATATTTTTGTATTATCTCACTAATAATATCTAAAAATTAATATTTTAGATCATCTGAACTATCTCCTAATGACTAAGAATTGTTATGTATTCCCATACCAAGAAGCATTTATTGGCATATATCATGTCTGTACAAATGAAAGGTTTGCAAAGTAGCTCGGAATGGAGTTCATAAATATGAGGTTTACTATGAGGTTTACTTCTCTTTGAAAAAGAGTGTTAAAGGTAACTCAGCATAAAGGTAACAAAGTATATCAACCAGTCAACAAATATTTAATGAATATCTATAAGGGACAGTCACTATGCTAGGTCATGTTTGGTATACAAAGCATTACAAAACATATTTTCTTTCTTTAAGAAAGGTATAGTGTAGCTGGAGAAAGATTTATGTAGAAAAAAATAACGAAGAAACAAGACAGTAAATAAATGGCTAACAAGCAAAATGACGCTGGAATTCAAAAGATGCAGAAATCACCATAGGTTGGTCATTATGAGAGGGGCTGGGATTTGAGCTGGGTCTTGACAGATGGGCAGCATTTCTATCAGGCAGAAGGGAAGAAACTTTCCAGGCAAAGAAAACACAGTGAACCAAGGTATAAGGAGAATATGTGAGCAAAGTTTATTTCAACGCATCTAAAATATTTTGATTGCAACAAAAAAGAAACTACTAAAAATGACATGTACTCAGAGTGGCCAAACCGAAATAAGTCCCTAAAGTAAAGTTCAACAAACCTGGAAATAGCCAAACCAAATACACTGATGCACTACTGCTTGACCTAAGATAACACTCTAGTGAGTTGTGTCATTTCATCCAGGGCTTCCTTTCTTTTAATACTTTCCTAACATACACATCTCTGGTTCCACTGGTGGAACACTCTGGAAATGCAATTATCCAAGTGTGTTATTGACTGCTATGAGTCTTATGCTCACATAATGTTCAAGTGCAGGAATTAAACACAGGGTTTAGAGGACTGCAGGCTGCTTGTGAATGAACCATATCATACCTAAGAATTGTAATCTGAAAAATTTCATAAATAATGTTTTGGTGGCCATCTTGCTAAATTTCATTTCATTGTATTGTAATGTAAGGTTTTCATGCTTAATGAAAATTATAGAGGTCCTTTTAATGCTCAGGGATTAGTAAAGGTATAGATTTTTTAAAAAGAGGGTGGGATTGTCTTCTTGGATTAAGATGATGTTGTAAAAATTCTTGTTAATTTTCTTTATGGAAACTCAACTAATATTTTAGATTCAGTTCACTGCTTTTGGTCTTGAAATGCCAAAGTATGAGTCAAGGTTTAAAAGCCTATTTTCTTGGGCTTCTCTTCATAACAATCTCTGATATGAACTGTACATAATAGAAGTCCCATGGAGTTGTAAGGTTCACTACACATCCTCCTCCACACATCCAGGCAAGCTCTACAGACAAGTCTGCATTTAAATTTGGAGGGCTGCGGGAATTCAATTTCTACTTCTCTTTAAAAGTGAGATATCTCACTTCTGGATATCTGGTTTTGCCTTTGCATTTTTGTATATAAAGTAAATGAAGTAGAGATACCTAAGTCCTACTGCTTTTATTAAATCTTTTTAACTCAGTATTCCCTCTCATCATGAAAAAGTAGAAACTCTTTCTTATCAAATAACTTCTACATGGTAAGTTGTTTTTTTTTAAACTCTCAATAAAAGCTAATGATTCTTTGTTTTACTTGTAGTATTAGATGCTGATTTCAAACAAAACGGAGTCTTTGGAAAAAATGACTGGGTAGGAAGAATCTTGCAAGGTTGGAGAGTTTAGTAAAATGAAGGCACACTTATGTAGCTGACAGAAGTAGCATAATGGACATTAGTAGGAAAAGCAGTTATTTTAGTTGCCTAATTCTCACAACATGTCAAAAACAAGCAAACAAGAAAACCAAGCAAAATATACATAAAAAAATACATAAATAATTTGATAAAACTGGAGTCAGAGTTACTAGAATAAACTACCCCGACTCCCTCACTGTGTTAAGGGGATTATGTGGAGTTCTGTCTGAGGAAGGCATTAGAAAAAATATTAAGGATGATAAAGTAAATGTGCTAGAGAACAAGGTCAGTAAGTGCTATCTGTATAAAACTTCTTAGTCCCTGAGGCTTGTCTTGAAGAGTACACAGGATTTTCCTTAGGGAGCAAAGACAAGAAGATAAGAACCTCAAAGGAATATTCAGGTAGCTAGGACTGCAGGCACACCACCACACCTAGCTAATTTTTCTCTCTTGTAGAGATGGGGGTCTCACTCTTGCTCAGGCTGGTCTCAAACTCCTAACCAGAAGCAATCCTCCCCACTCAGCCTCTCAGAGAGCTAGGATAAGAGGAGTGAGCCACCACACCAAGCCTCTTCTCTCTCTCTCTCTCTCTTAAAAATTCTTTCTACCTCCCTCTTATCCTGCCTCTTACATTCTTTCTTCCTCTTCACCTTTCACTGTTTCTTTTCCATGTTTTTACCCCCTGCTTATGCCTTTCAATAGCCAGTGGCACCCATGTGTATTTTCTGATAATATTCAGAATTTGAAAAGGTTGTTAATTCTTATTTACTGTCTTTGCATCCTACCTGCTTTATTGAATACTATGTAAAGGCAGGTGCTTCATAGTATTGTTAGTCTTCTTTAGAGGAGTTCAGCTACCATGATAAGTTCAATTTGCCAGGTTTGGTCTTGAAATGCCTAAGACTTGTATGTAATTTCACTCGACCCCTAGGTTCACCCTAGCCCACAGATTCCAAGCCTCAGAAGGCCATAGACATTAGGGTAACCTCATCAAACATTCACATGTATCACAAGGTAATGTTGGACAGGTCAATTCCCTCTGCAGTAAGGATTTCAGAGCATTCCCTTGTTCCCACATGCCAAGGATTGGGATCAACCTCCCAGGGTCTGAAAGATGCTAGCCCAGCAAATTTTTCTGTACACAGAAAAATTCAAAGAGCTGTCATTTTGAGAATTACCAAAAATAGCTGTAAATCATTACCTAGACAATTTGAAACAAGAAATCCTTCCTCAGCGATACAACTGTTGCTGTTCAAGCTTGAAAGATCACCCACTATTTGATGCTCCTGAAAAATGTGCAAGTAAAACTAGGTCTTCATTGGAAAAAAAAACAGAAAAAGGAAACTTTAGTAACAAGTTAAACATAGCTCTTGTTTGGTACACAAACATGAACTAGATAAAGAACAGGAAAATGGGATTATGTACTTAAGGTTTAGTTGAAGAAGAGTAGGGTCTGGTTGTCTAATTAGAAAAATGAGAATTTACTTAACAACAAAACTACAACTCCTAATTATACATGAGATACATAGAATTTTGGATATTCTATGAGTTTTTTTTTTTGTTTGTTTGTTTTTTGAGACAGAGTCTTGCTTTGTTGCCCAGGCTAGAGTGAGTGCCGTGGCGTAAGCCTAGCTCACAGCAACCTCGAACTTCTGGGCTCAAGCAATCCTGCTGCCTCAGCCTCCAGAGTAGCTGGGACTACAGGCATGTGCCACCATGCCTGGCTAATTTTTTCTATATATATTAGTTAGCCAATTCATTTCTTTCTATTTATAGTAGAGATGGGGTCTCACTCTTGCTCAGGCTGATTTCAAACTCCTGACCTTGAGCAACCCGCCCGCCTCGGCCTCCCAGAGTGCTAGGATTACAGGCGTGAGCCACCATGCCTGGCCAATATTCTATGAGTTTTATAAATCTTCCTGTTATGCTAAGACTAGTGACAGTCATTCTTAGCATATTTATAATATATTAAAGCCAAATAGACATGGAAGAGAAAATATCATTTCTTTATATTTGAGGCAATAGACATAAGCATTTAGGTAGGGGACATAATGAGGAAATTATTATCTTTCAGATCCATCATTGGAAGATACATAGAAAAGCTGCTTTTCTTTTGTTGTTCCTTTTGGGGCCAAAGGATTTCAGCAGTCAGAAACTATGTGGCTGAGTAAACTGGCCATGGCAGGAGGTTGTGAGGGTCTGACTGTTGACAGGGCCAAGCATATGGGATAGACACTTAGCAGGATGTTGTAGAATATTTGAACATTAGATGAAAGCCTGGTGTAGACAACTTTTAGGGTCTTTATGATATCATGGCCTGTTTCTATGTATTGTAAATACTATTTGGTTATAGGCAACTACTCATGGTCCCTTTTGAACT